CGCCTCCGCGAGAAACTTGGCTCTAGACAAATCACACATGGCGCTGTGGTTTGTATGCATCTTTAGTCGCAGCACGCCACGGCGCATCCACAGCTGGGGATTTCGTGGTGCCAGCAAAATGGCGGCGGAAAATGCCTCCATGGCCAACGTCAATGCAGACTCGTGGCGCAGTTTTGTGTAGAGCCGACCCAAGTCACGGAACGTGGCCATCAAAGCCACAAGACGTTTTTCCATCAGCGCAACCGACACGCCTCTGGCAAGCATGCGGCGTTCGTTCACGTGAAACGTCAAAAGAAGAACCACAAGCTCCAGTTTCTGAATAGCCTTCACGATGCCACGCTCCTCGAAGGGTTCACTGATGTGCCCAAAGGGCCTGGGATGAACCGTCATGGGCTCAACCATGGCGCATGCGGGGATGGCAAGGTCCTCCCCATCAATATTACTCCCATTTTCATTACGCCTGCTGATCCTCTTGAAATGATACTTCTTCTCCTTGTCAGTTTTTGATTGCCGCTGCGACTCTGTCAGTCGCTGTTTTCCCAACTTGCGCAGTGCGTTTGCCTCCTGTTCCAGTTTTTGCACCACCCGAAGTGAGTTCGCAGGGTCAACAAAGAAGAACGAGGCTACGTCATGCACATTCGCAAAGCTTTCAAGGGAAATACGGCAATGAAGCTCATGTGGAGGAAAATTCTTGGAACCAAACTCTCCTCTCAGCCCATCACTCAGCAGCGTCTGCGCGCTGCTGGCGGAATTCGGTGACTGGATTGACATGTCCAGTGGGGTGCCCTGTTCCTCCGGTCGCTCCCTCTGCACGATGTTGTTGACGTGCATATCTTCCATGACGCGAGACTGTAGAAAGGCAGATGTCCGCAGATCATTTGCCAATGAACATTGAAAAGCGCCATCATCCTCACAGTTATTTCGCATGTTTACAATTTCCTCCTCTCCGCCACGCATCGTCTGAAGCAATACATCCAGCCAAAGCGGCAGGGACATGCTCCCCAGCTCCACGCCAGCGAGACTCCTGGGCCTGAGCATACTACCTGTCAGCGGACTCCTCCGCGTGACACTACACGACAGGGTCGCGCCGTCGCGAGGAACGGAAAAGAAGGCCAGGCGCAAAAATTTTAACGCCTCCTCGTCCGTCGGAACGTTTTCGCCCCTTCCCCTTCCTCTTCCTCCTTCCACTTCTTCTTCTTCCTCGTTGTCACGTCCGTCCTTGCTGCTACTATTATTCTGAGCAGTAGCGCCCGTTCCGCCGGGACTCCGCCGCGTCAACTGCTCTGCCCCCGCAAGGCCGCTCTGCGAATGGGGCGCCATCGCATCCAACAAAAACGCCACGGAAGCGCCAGGATGACCCACCACGTGACAATTCAAAAACGCAGACGCGTTGGATACAAAAAGCGCACGAAGAGCGCATTTATATGTCACTGCGTCTAAAAACGTCGCGTCCGAGGAGTTGGTAAAAAAAAGCGAGGAGCTGAAAAAGAGAAGTGGAAGCATACAGCCGTGCACATCCTCTGACGTCGGTTTCATCCAATCCAGCTGCGACGGCGGCGTAGAAGATGAGCCATTCAAAATGTACTTCTGTGCAATTGGCAGCCAAAGGGGCTCACGTGGCAGATGATTCAAAAGCTTAATGCGGATATAAACACATCGCATGGGGAATGCCGCCGGGTTATGGGAAAAGTGTGTACCGTATGCGTTTTGTACATCGTCGTAGACGGATGTTGGATTTATGATGATGAACGCAAACTCCTCACCGGGCCGCATCGCACGCACCGCCACCTCAACGCCGCCAAGCAACACTGAACCGCCAGGCCGCAGGCACTCGGCATCACCTCCTAGAGGCACAGAAACACGACGCGGTGGGAACAGTTTGCCGACTGTCCCGCAGCACTCCACTCGGAAAGGAGCTGAATGACGGTTCTCACGCAAACTTCTGGACATCTGTTTTGCCGCTTCAAGAAGCCACTGCGCGGATTCTGCCGAGTGCGTCATGTGAAAAGGGAGCTCTCGGACCAACTCCTCTTCCGTGTACCTGCTTGGAGTCTTTGAGATGGTCTCAGCGGCGGCCGAAGGCAGAAGAGCGGGGGCCAATGAATATTCAAAAACCACCCACGACGCTCGAGAATACGGATACCGGGAGCCCCACCACATCGAATTCTCTTCGTTTGCCTTTGCTGGCAAAAAAAAGGTTGAGGTGCTGTTGGTGGTAGTCGTAGCAGAAGAAGAAGAAGAGCTGTCATTATTCAATGGATACAGCACCTCCATCAGATGTCTGGCGGTACCATCGATCATAAACACCGTGGGCCGCAGGTAAATACCACGCAGGGGAGCCTGCGCGATTGTCTCACAAATACCGCCGCTGCCGCCCCTGCCAAATCTGTTGATTTTTCTTCCGGTGTTCTCCATTCCACCCGGGGATAAACCGGAGAAAAGGCCATCGTGCGACCGCAGCAAGTTGGAACTCTCAGAACTTGTTTGAGAAAGAGGCTGCATGCCTGGCACTCGGCAATAAAGGCTCTCCCACGCTTCTTCCCGTAACCGGCGTGAAGAAGTGGAACCGGAATGGCGTCTTCGCTTCGTCTTTTCAACGTCTTGAAGCGGATGATATTATTGCAGGCGCAACAAGACCGTAGTCAGTAAATATATATAGTCTGCCTTAAAAAAAAAACAAGGCGAATAACAACTAACCCTTCTCTCTACCTATCCCTCTCTTTTTTTTTTTTTTTTAAGGCAGTGATTTCTTTTTTCGCATACATACACACATATATATACGTACAAAAATCGGGAGAGAGAGAGAGAGAGTAGGAACAGGAGGGTAATAAAAAAAAAGGGATGGTTCGCAGGTGGAAAACCGCAACAGGTCAACAAAACCGCAAAACATAAGAAAAGAAGTGATGCCGAAAGGTTGCAAAAGATGCCGGCAAACAATTCACACGGACAAGGACAACAACAATGGCAGCCAACAAAACAATTTAAAAAAAAGAAACAAAAAAAAAGTGGAGGTCTTACAAATTACAAAAAAAAAAGCCATGTTTTTATTGGCTTCTGATGCACACGTGCGCACGTCCCGCCGCAACGAAGATACACCACCTCCCACTCCCGCCCAGCTCACACATGTAATGCTCCCTTTGCATCCTCACTTCATAATCCTCTCGCGCCCTTTTTTGCCGTTATTTTCAAGTTCTTGTTTCTTGGGTGGCTGCTGTTTCTTTCTGTTTTCCTTCTCTTCTGCCGTCACCTTCGTTCAAAATATCTCACTCCCCATATTTCTGCACGCCTCCCACTTTCTCACTCTCCCTGGCCCTAAGTAACCCACAAACGGCTCTTCGTCCTGCTGCGCCACGCCACACAAATCGTCACACCGACGCGTCAGTTCTGTTGACGGTTATGAAGCCGCAATTCGTGATGGCGGTCAATTCGAGTACTTTGGTGCATTCCCGTCATTTGCCCGTTTGCCCCTCCACTGCTGCTGCTGCTGCTGCTGCTGCCTCTCGTGGTATCGAGGCCGCCGTGAATGATGCTGTTGTTGCTGTTGTCTTCCCTGCTGCTGACGGGGTGAGTGGTTGCCAAATGTCTCCTTCTTTTGTCCGGGCAAAGAAGAAACGGACCGCTTGCCACCACGCTCCTCCTCCCACCTGCGGGGCTCATCCTTTTTTCTCTCGGCACGCTCGCGCCTCAAATCCTTCGTGAAGACAGTGACGACTGTGGCCTCATCCGAGAACCGCTGCTCCCGTGAGGTGTCAATTGCAGCCTTCTCCACCTCCCTTCTTTCTTCAGCGGCTACGGATGACATCATCCCCGATGGCGACGATGGGGGAGGCTCCTGTCTGCTATCCTCTGGTTTGCTCGCAGCCGCAGAGAGAATATCCACAGCGCTTGTAAAGAGAACGTGTCGGCTGCCAAGCTTCATCCCCACCGCCACCTCCAACTCTGTCAGTACAGGATCGAAGTCCTCTCGGAGTGCCAGAATGTCACCACTCTGCACCACGCGGAGTGCAGGAAAGGACGTGGACGATGAGAACGGCGTCCCCACGGCTGATTTTGTGGTGCCGCCTTTGCCTTGGTATGGTGTCACTCCCTCTCCCTTCGCAGCGGTGGCGGCAGTTTGGATACGTGGGGCTGCTGCCACTTGCTGAGTCGCGTTGCGGCGGCGGATCGCCGCCATGCGTTCCTCGCTCTTCTCGATCGCTGCCAACGCCTCCGGAAAGTTATTCAACACGGCTGACATGGCCACATCACGTATTGCCGGTTTGGGCATAAGCAAATGCTGCGCCACCGCACCACTGCTAGTGCTTTGACTCCCAGGAATACTGTCATTACTACTCCCATGGCTGATCACCGTGGGAGAATCATCTCGTCGTTTGCTGGACGAGAAGGAGGATGACAACTCGTCGGGAGAAAAGTAGACGTTGGCGAGAACGCTGTTCGCCTCTGCCACGGGTACATTTAATGCATGAAGAATGTGCTTAAAGGCCTGTCGTCGACGATACGCGGGTGGGATGGAGAGAAGATGCCGTATCGCAATGCCTGGTTCTCCGCGGAAGCTCCACATTGCTGCAATGGCATTTAACGCGTTCGCGATGCCAACAATGTGATACGGCATAAAGATTCGGTGTGTCTGAAAAAAGTCGGTAAGTTTTAAAAGATAGGCGTCCTGCCAATCCCGATCTAATTGTTCCGACATCATACTCATGCGATAAGCTGCCACGTAGTCTCGACCAAAGCTCACCTCGGCGTGGAACACACTGCATGTCGCAAGAGTGTGGCCGTGTTGATAGCAGTGCCTACAAAGTTCATCGTGGAGGGTGCGACTCAAATTTGTCGTCAAGCGATTTGTGTACGTCTGACGTGCGGGTGGATGGTCAATGTCCGGCACGAGGCCCTCCGCCTCGTATATGGCCAACAATTGCGCTCTACGATCCTCAACTGCCTCCTCTTGCAAACCTGCCGCACGCCAAAGATCAGTGTACACACGTGCTGGCGGCACAACCTCTGTGGGAATTCGACGCAACACCCGGACACCTGCAGCCAATTGTCCAGTTGCAAAACACCGTCGTATGAGGCGGAGAAGCGCCCGCACGAGGGAGGGATGCGCCCGCAGCATATCCCCAGTGAGATTGCCAAGGTTGTACATGTGGTACACGTAGGCAGCCGCAGCGCGGATACCGTCAGAGGTGCAGCGAATACCGCCCACCTGTGTTGCCACATATTCGAGTTTCGCCGCGTTTGTCGGCTGCGCTGACAGCTCGGGGCATTCCAAATACGCATGGCCGGGGTCAAAACATAACAAGCAGTGTCTCTGCAACGGGACCGCCGCCGCAGAAGCAGCTTCACTGGAAAGGCCTAACACAGTCGCATCATCAATCGATGCCGCAGCCGACAATGGGGATGAAGACACAGTGCCGCTGTTCAACAGAGTACGGATACCGTCCTCGGAGAAGCGCTGCATGCGCAGCATCGCATATGTGGTATGGCGGGAGATAAACGCCCCAGGGGCCCTCGCGTACAGTCGACAAGCCCCCTTCTCTTGTCCAACCGCCGCGAGTTTCGCAATGGTTTTATTTATGGCGTAAACAATAAGGTCATCCGCGTCAATACGTCGTTTTGGTTTCCGTACAGTCACTGCCGTGGTGGCTTCCAGCGACACAACATCTGGGGTGTCACCATCTTCAATTTCTTCTCCCTGGAGGTCCTCTTGAAACGAGTCCACCCGCTGCAAAAGAAATCGATAGAACGCGTGCAGTCTTTCGGGGCCGGCAGACGTCCATCCATCCACCTGTGCACGCAGCCGTTTTACCCGCTGATTCTCGCGCAGAGGGTCATACAAGACGGCCTCAGATGCCCTCACGCTCACCATCGAACCGTGTGCATCAACTTCATTCAGCCACTGTAAAAGGCGCGGGCATTCAAATGACGCGTGTCGCTCGTCGAGGCACATGCAGCATGTGAGGGCCACCTGCACAAAGTTTGGGTGACTCTCGTCCTCTACCCCAACTGCACTCCGCTTACGCAACAGCCCTCGTGCCTCTTCCGCGGGGACATTGAAATAATGTGCCATGACAAGATATGCTTGATCGTTCCGCAGGTGCAGCGGAATGTGACAAAGTAAAAACGCTGCTCGTCGGTATTGATGATAGTGACTGAGCAAAATGGATAGTCGGTTCACTTCCTCGCTGTGGACCTCCGCAAAAAGCTCCCTGTAAGGGGACTTTACAAAGGCGGTGTAGGCATCCACCACAAGACGGCTGTTTTCCGCGCCGCGTTGCAACGCCGCCTCCACCACAAGTCGTAAATGTTGAAGCATCGCACGCTGCTTCTCCTCCGGTGACATGTTAATAGATGCACGTGTCGTTGAAGAAAAGTCACGTGTGATGATGGGGCATGTCTTCCATGCGTGTGAACCAAAGCACACCTTGCATGTGGTGGGGGTAAAGATGGTCTGGAAAAATTTTTTTTCGTTGTGAATCAATTCCTGCGCGGAAATCTCCGCATACTCCGCCTCAGTACAACCAAAAAGTTTCGCTACAGCCCATAACGTGTCATTCTTGCTGCGTGAACGTGGTGAAACAAATCTCACATACAAATACCCTGCCAGCACCCGCTCGTGTAGCCAACATAGCCTTCGTATCAACTGATCGATTCTTTCATGATCGTGAGGAGTGGCCCTTAGCATGAAGGCACGGCGATACACCATAAGCATGTACGCTGCAACAACAGCATCCACAGGACGCGCCTCAGCATTCGCCACACGAGCTCTTATCTCTTGCATAACATCGCCTGATTCAGCGTAGGCAAAATGACGCCATGGTGCTAATGGGCCTGTTTCAGCCCCACACGCTGTGCACTGCACACGCGAGCCCCACTCGGAGTTGTGTTCCTGACACCATACACAAATCCATGGGCCATCGGTCCGCACATGCACGAGCAACTTGTTTTGCTGCCCACGCTGCCACCCCTGTTGCTGCCGTTGCAGCATTGTGTGGGATGTATCCGATAAGAGCAGCGATGGTGGTGCCGCCAGGAGTCGTGCTGACGTTAACACACCACGCTGCGCCAATGCATAGCGCCGGGCCGCCTCCTGCAACTGCAAGCGTCTAGATGATTCCTCCATGGCCGCATGAACGTCAAAGGGAAGCATCGAAACACCCGCGCCCTCAATGTTTTCGCCGTGCCCACCCTCCTCAAGTTGGAAGAGAGGCATGTTTTGATCCACTGGTACGCCGGGTATTAAGGGCACTGTCTCGCCCAGTATCTCGCGTTTAAACACGCTGCTGGCGTCTAATGGCTGTCGAGTAGGCAACGATGATGATGCCTCGCCCTTCTCATGTGACGGCAGGGAGTTAACTTTTCCGTCATCGTCGTTCTTTGACCAGCGATAAATGCGCTCATGCAAGTTACGCCTGCCTTTTGCGCGCAGAGCCTTTCGTTTCTCGCGGAGACGTGTGACGTGTTCATTTGACAGCTGAAAACTTGGCAACGCGTTTGGGTCCTTCGACGGTACAACCGTCAGACACAACGGACAGGAGCGCTCAACGTAAACATCCTGCTCTGGCAATATGGAGCTACACATGGGGCACACCAAGTCCTCCATGACGCGCATAAAATCAGCACGGAAGCCCTCCGAAAAGGCATAGACGTTGTCCAGCACGGCGTTATAAAACTGCTTTAGCTCCTCGTGCAGACCCAATCGAATCAGCACCCGCGAGGCTGGAATCAGGTGGTGGTGCAACTGTGGAAGCAGATGGACACCCACATCCACCAGCAGCCAGCGAAAGACTTTCTTCGTCACCTCACGGGCCTCCTCGGTGTGATGCGAGACGTCAAGACGGTGCAGCAGCCAAAGCGACATGTCAAGGCCATCGACAACATGACGAGATGACGCAGCACGGGCAACGTTGAGTGACATCCATGGGTTGGCGCCACGGCAGAGGGCGTCAATGACATATTTCGAGAGTTCACCCGCCTCCTCAGGCATAACAGTGAACCACGCCGGAGACTCGCGATTCAGCGTCTGGAAGAATCTCCAGACAACACCCCAGTGAATCATCGGCAACCCACCCGAGGGGGTGATATGCGACTGACCAAAGGCTGCAGTGATGTCACCGCCACCAGCCACCACATCTCGGGCCTCACGTGCAATTTTAAAAAATAGCAAGAACGGTGATGGGTGAATCTGCTCGTGTCTCTTCACACCTTCAGCCGCCTTCCCCCCAACGAGCGCGGCGGATGCCGACAATGGGTGGCTACCGGCAACTAAAACCATGCTTGCGTTCGCCGCTGAAAGTGAAGATTTCCCGGTGGGGCCATCAGCAGCCGTGGCATTAACCAGGCCTGCCTGTTTCTGCAGCACATGACACGTGGAAAGATAACGGCGGAGAATGTGCAGGGCGATCAATGGGGAAGCTTGCCCGTAAAAAGACACATTCGCTCGCAGCATGAGGCGTGCAGCTAGGCGTGCATCCAGACCGTAAACAACGCCCTCTGCAGTATTATCCTCACTGTTGAGGTGCAAAGTGCCCAGTCCCCATGCCCGTTCATCACGCAGAGCCACGTAATGCTGCTCCGCGTACCCCACTTCTCCCATACTCAAACGACACCATTCTAGTCGTCCCGCGTCTAGCGCAAGACGTTTCAGTGAAGCTAATCGAACCTCAAACGCTGATAGCGTCACCATATCACCGTCGTTCATGGTGTTTCTACTATCTCGGTTATTATTATAACCCTTATCAGCCTCCCCACCGTGTTTCGTGGAAGCCTTTGACGCTGCAACTGGCTCCTCTCTCATCAATTCCGTGGGAATACGCTGGCCCGTTCCCACGACGCGGCCTGCGCTGGGAGTATTCTTCGGTGCAAGTGTCAAGAGCCGCCAAAGGAGGGGTGAGTGTGGTATTTTTCCCTCCGCTGCCGCCTCCATCACAGCCGCCCACAGCCCTGGGGTGATCCATGCGTCCGGCATGTCCTGCAGAACTTCAATGGCGTCACTAAACAAGTTTTCAAAGAGCAGTGCCTGACAAAGAAGCACCCGTACAGCAGGATTGTCGTATAACTGAGGACATCGCCACCGCAGCAAATGACTAACTGTCTGTAATGTAAAAGACGCGGTGCCTGACGAAAACGTTAGACGCGTCTGATTAAACACCGCTTCCAGTGCGTGCACAGTAAGGCGTTGACACGGTGTCCGATGCCGCATGACAGTAAGCAACGTCTCAACAGGAGACGGGGCATCGGGATGAAAAATCAACGCCTCAAGGTCAACAGAACCACGCTCAATATACCGCTGCAAGACCCATGAGTATGGCTCATACCGACGCCGACGACGAGCAGTTGGTGAAGTAACAGCACGATTTGTTGTTGCATCCGCTAAATATGCCCCCGGTGCAAAGAAACGATGACGCTGCATAAACAACATGGCTGCATGGTGGCCAGTTTCCTGCCTTGGGGCCGAAGATAGACTCTTTGGTTTGCCTTTACCCAATGCAGCGGCAGATGAAGATGTCGATGCATGAGCAAAACGCAAAGAAGATCGCATGAGAAAAATACAAAAATGCACAAACAACTCCCGTGACTCCAAAGGCTCCCTCTTTTTATCTGCTAATCCCCTATATTTCTTCTCCTTCTTCTCTTCCTCTCTATTTATTCCCGTCTGCCTATGTGATTAATGTCCCTCCCTAAGCCCCTCACACACCTTTCCCCTCCCTCCGCACGCCGTCCCTTCTTTGTTGTTGTTGTTTCTGCTCCTGCTACCCCTAAAGAACACACCCCACAAAGGCCCCAAGAGCAAAAGTAAAAAAAAAAAAAAGAACTATTCCTTTGTTTATGCCACCAACACGGAAATTGGGTTGATGAATACTGAAAAATGGTTAGCAAACAAGACGTTTGCCGTCACGACCTCCCCTTTTCTTATCTCCACCACAGCCACCAGTTCCCTTATTCCTTGTAGATGAGGATTTGCTTGCCTCCTTCCCTTCAATACACTATGCACTCTCTGTGTGAATGGTTAAAAAATATTTATTATACCAAAATAAATCGCGTTGGAAGGCCTCCTTACCCTCTTCTTCTTGCCGTGTGTCTGTGTATGTATTTGTGCTTTCTGTATGTATGCCGTGGCCCTGAAAACAGAAAAAAGAAAAGAAAAAAAAAACAAAAAAAAAAAGGTGGTGATTGATGTCAATCAGCAACTAAAAAGGAAATGTACATGTTTTCTTCCTCCTAATCCCTTTTGTTGTTGTTGTTGTTTCCTTTAAGAAGAAGAGATTAAATTCTCCTTCCCACAAATTGCTTTCTTGAAATGACATTTCAGTCGGTGCACAATGAGCAGACATCATCACACTACAACGAGAGAGAGGGAGAGAAAAAAAAAAAAAAAGACGCGTGAATCAAAGCGATGTCCGCAATGGCTTCGAGTTCAAGTGCACATAGCGCTCCACAATGCCCACCAGCTCATACGTCTTTGTTGGCATCTCGTTGGTATCGACAGAGGCAGACGCAGCGTCCAACGTCATTTCCTCCGGATGCTCCGCCAGCCACTCCTGCAGCAAACAACACCGCGGTGACGGCAATGAGGGTGAAGAAGAAAGCGGAGACTTCTGTGCGCCGTGCTGCGGCTGCTGACATGGCTGCGACTTCCGTTGCCTGAGCACGAGAAGTGGCTCTCCAAACTGGCCACGGCTCCCTTCCACAAGCAACGTTCCGATGCGCAATGAACAGCGCTTCTTGTTACGTGGGTCATCATCAATGTGGCCAAGCGGCACCTCCACCACCGTCTCTTGACCCAACGCACCATCAGACACTTCTGCCTGCGCCAATGACTCCTCCGCATCGCGTGGCTGCTTTACACCCGAGAAAAATCCCTGTTTCTGCTGCTTCTCAGAGGCCTCCCTAATCAATTTGGGGGGAATACTAACTTTGCCTTGCAGCTCCAGCAGCAGCATCTCCTGCAATACGCCCTCCGTCGGTGCCACCACACGAATCATGGCCCGCTGCTGCCCTTTGCACCGCGCATGTGCATTTATGTATGCGCAAATGAGCGGATTTTAAAGAAAAAGAAAAAAAGAACACAAGCCGTAAGAAAAAGGAGGCGGAAAACACGTCACCGGCAAAAAGAAAGGGAAAAAAAAAAACACCCACCCACACACGCACGCACACAAAGAAAAAAGAGCAAGAATACTCTCAGGTCTCTCATCAAAGTTTCCCTTTTTCCGCCGCCGTTCACCTCCGCACACAGAAGGCCGTTCCCCACACACAATTCCATTCCCTTTTCCTTTTCTTCTTTTTTCCTCTTCTTTTCTCCCTGTTGTTGTTGTCGTTGTTTCCCCGCCCTCGCAATCGCCGCTCTTTCCTCACCGGTCCTTCACCCAAGGATGCGGCAGTTCACGGTCGGGAAAGTGCTCATGCCAGATGCGCCGCATCATGTTGTCGCGACCAATAATTTCGCCATGAAGTGTCCCCAACTTGTACTTCCAGCGGTATGCCATGAGCAATTCATTGTCCCTCTTTTTCTCATCCACACACTGGGTGTATCGGTCCCGCTCCTTCTGGCACTTCCACGTCGTCCACATCTTGTCCTGCAGGCAGCGCGCCATCGTCTTCTCTACCTCCGCACACCGCCGCTCCGCCTCATTTGCCACCGCGTCCTTCAGCTCCTTCACCACCATGGGCGGAAACCGCAGCGCCTGAATGTGGTCAATGGTTTCAAAGTCCTCCTCGTACACATCCTCAATCACGTTCTTTTTCTTGTCCCGCTTCTGACGCACCGCCTCGGAGGACAGGCGGGCGTAACGTCGGCGCTTCTCGTCAAGCACCTGCTGCTGACGTCGCAGCTCATCGGCAATATCTTCATCCGCGTCGGGGATGTGCGCCGCGGCGGCCGCCTCACTGCTGGCGCGGGCCCCCATCTACACACGACACGATGACCGCCCCCTCCCACTGTGAAAAGTGAAGCAGGAATAAATGAAAGACATAACACAAAAAGGTAAAAAAAAGGAAGAAAAGAAGAAAGAGAGGGAAGACGACAATGAGAGAGACGCGCAAAGCAAAACTGCCCAAACAACAAAAAAGGCAAAAAAAAAGAAGCATTCAGAAAATCCCTCCAGAGCATTCATGCGCATAAAATGCAGACGTGTGCACGCACACAGAAAAAGCAGAAGCACAAGGAAAATGACGGCGAGAAAAAAAAAAAAGACGGTTTTATGCGGCGCCTAAAAAATAAAAATAAAAATAATAATGGCAATTGCTTCCGGCTCCCCTCATTTATTTGTTCCTTCGCACACCGGAATGCTGCAGTTCACGGCACAAATTCCCCGCATCCGCCCCCTTCTCTCCCCCCTTTTTCCCCACACAAAGAAAGCCGTAATAAGGACGGTGACATACTGGCTGCGTTGGCTGCATGTTTGGACAAACATAAGTAATAAAAATAAAAAATACAAATAAAACAAACAAGAATGAGAGACCCCTCTTTCCTTCGTAAAAATTTTAAAAAAAAAAAATACTTCGGAAAAACAGCAACACGATTCTTCTCATGCGTGCAATCCACAGTCTCCCAGGCTGCTTAGCCAGCTCTCCACCAAGGCTCACTGTGACCAACCCCTACCACTACCACTACCACTACTACTAGCACCACCATTTATTACTGTCATTTATATTAAATGTTATCGTAAACACAGTTCCATTTCTCATTCTCATTGAGCAAACACAAATCACACGTATTAAAAACAAAAACGCATGCACGTACCCAAAGAAAATAGGAGATAAAAAGAAAACAAGTAGCATCTTGGTGGATTGAAAAGAAAAAATAAATATAAGGTTAGGGAAACATAAAAAAAAAAAATAAAAAAAAAAATAAAAACAGCAAAAAAAAAAACACCAATATTTATTTATCTATATGTTTACACCCATACAATTTTTTACTCTCAGGCAGTACACCCATTCAAAACCACATCAATGCTCGGGGCATGCGCAGTGCGTGAATTTGCACGTGTTTCCTCTATTAATTCTTTTCCGTGTTTTATGGAAAAAGAGGAAACTTTCCGTTTAACCTAAAGCATTTCTTCAGGTGTGCTCATTGAATTATCACATAAATAAATTTGATTGGAAAAGTCTTTCGCTAAATGTTTTTTCCCCTTTTTTTTCGTTTGGTTTCCCTTCGCGTTTATTCCTTGTTTTGTTTTCACCCTCATCTTTATTATTATTATTATTATTATTATTATTATTATTATTTTGCTTCTAACCCCCCCAATGTGATGGCCGTTAGGCCACAAAGGAGCGCTTGGCGGCGTCAAATTCATGCTGTACCCCCGTGTCTTTACCGAATTGGTCCCCGATCACCGAATCACCTATCCTGTTGGCAGAGCTGTCATCGCCATATGTTTCCCTATCGACATCCTCACTGCTGATGTTGCAGCCGGCGAAGGCGATGGAAAGAATGGGAGGAGGGGAGAGTACGGAAAAATATTCTGGGTTCTGCTCAACCACGCCATCTGGCAGGGCCGTTCTTGCCTTCATGTCGTTAACTTCTGCAAGTGGCATTCGTGCCCCCCCATTACTGCCCTCCTCAGACTCGCTAGCCTCGTTGAGCCCGGGCTGCTCAAGATCCACCGCACCTTCCCCCAAAGAGACGGAAGTCTTTGTCCCGTTTGAAACGCGGGAGGCGGCAAATGCGTCTGCGTGAAGCGTCTCCCACGTATTCACCGCTTGCAGTGGGCTGCCACTTTTCCCCACCGCCTCTGGAGCCACGCTATCCTCCACTCCCCCCGTGTTTGGAGAGGTTCCTGCGTCCTTGCCACGTGGCTCCCTTATCACCGGATCCACGAATTGACAGGATAGACCCTCTTCCCGCTCTTTCAGCGTGTCGTCGTCTTCCCCGTGGCCGCTTTGGTCCAACAATTCCTTCTCCTCGTCCTCCCTCCTTTCCTGCTTCTGTACACTACCCCTATGCGATCCTTCGTGACTCCCAGTACTGGCCCTTCCATCCGTCGTCTGGGAAGATAAAGAAATCGCCGTCGATTTGGCGCGCATATCAGCCAACTTTGCCCAAGGCGATTGATAGCCGAATTCAACGCATGAAGCACCCCTCACATACTTCATCGTTCCCGCTGCATGCCCAGTGCTCAAACGTCCTTTTCGCGGTCTTGTTGTCAGGGCGGTTCCGGCAAATTCCGCCGGCCGCCTGCCAGCAGAGCTTTGCGCGGCTGACGATGGGCCAGAACTCTGAAGGGGTAGAAAATTCTTCTTCCAGCGGAACGAAGCATACGATGCGGCATGCGTGGAGCCGCGCGAGCCTTTAGAGGATGGATACAACGGGAGATCCGGCAAAGAGGATCGCGCCGCCACAATAGGCGGAAGCTTTTTCTGCTGCAATTGCGGAAAACGTGGCATGGGTGATAAATTTTCTGGCGATAGTGGCAATGACTGAGCACAAGCCTCTTTCTGTCCCTGGAGGGTGCTTTGACCAAAACCGCATGTAGGCTGAGCCATAGGGGCTTGTAGGCTTTTATCATCTCTCGTGAAAAGCATACTTGGTATCGAAATGCA